GGCCTGCCGTTCCAAAACGGCGGCGTCCGGAAGCACGGGGAGCGGGCGGAGCTCTGCCGCCTTCGCAGGAGCTGCCGGGACTGACTTGTGCGGCCCGACGCTGCAACACGCTATCTCCACGTCAGGGACACACGTGCCCTCGTCAGCCTGCGGCTGCAGGTGCTGAGGAGCGAGGAGAGCATCGGAAGGCTCCTCCAGCAAGGCGGCACGGGGGGCAGGAGTGCCCGGCTGAGCGGGCATCGCTGCCTTCAGCGGAGAATACTCCAGCTGACCTCCGTTAGCAGCCGCCTGCTCTAGGATATTTGGAGCAGGTCCCAGTAGTGCCGGAGCTGAAAACTCTGCCTGGCTCGATAAGCCGGCGGAAGATGCTGCGGCAGGAACTTGTGCCAAAGATGGAGAGGCTCCGATGGGGCTGTCACATACACCTGCTTGCAGGGGAAGCTGCTGACCAGCTAAGACACCAGGCGGATCCGCCGCCGCAGAGCTCGCTTGCTGATCATCCGACTGCTCCAGGTCTAAAAGCATACAAACACCCGGTCAACTTTTTTTTAGGAGCCGCACAGAACGAAAGGAAGTCACTGCAAACCTTCCTGGTTAGCTGCAGTGATAACCACGTCTAGCCGTAAGCCATTAGTGCTTCCCGTCAGAAAATAACTGTTATACAGGTCAAATTAGAACCCAAAATTACACATTATGCAAAAGTATTGCACTGAAAAGACACTGCTTATTAAAACAGCAGGGACTAGAAATTGAGCTACCTTATAGCGTAAGGCAGAGTTAAAATACTGAGACTGTTCTGAAACTCAAATAAACATTCCTAATTTTCAGATTAGGAATGTTCAATACCAGAAACGCACTTAAAATGCATGACTTAAAACTCATCATTTTCTTCCTCCGACTAAATGAAATGAAACAATCACAACTAAGGCAGGTGAGAATAGAAGAGAGATGACACAGCAACTTCGGAGAAGGAAACATTTTCTATAAAGTTTGTAAATACCTGGACCTTCAGACTGCTGTGTGCTCTGAGGTACCGGTGGAGAAAATTCTGGTGCATCAGTACTAGGGTTTTCCACAACAGGACATATAATAAACCACCTTTTTCCAGTATGCAAAACTAGAGGTGAAAAGAAAATAAAGAGTAAACACAATAGTTTCCATTCATTCCAGACCATCTGTCAAAACCTAGTCTTAATTTCCATGTTTAGAAAGAAAATCAGAACTTCTACAGTATTAGCCAAGATTAAATCAATGGCGCCTAATTTGTTTGTCATCCCTTCCGGAGGGGAGACAGCGATGCCTCCTGATTCTGCCATGTATTTTAAGTTATTTGAAAATTTGTTTTCAAGTGTTCATACTTTTAGAAGGGCAGTAGTTATGTACCTGAAAGTTTTATTAACGGTACTGTGGACAGTTTTCTCACAATGAAAAATCTGTGAATTTTGTAAAGGTTATCCAGCTTAACTTTTCCACGTTGGAAGCCTTCTAGCTAATATTTCCTTCCACATCTTATTTCAAAGCCTGGCATACGTAAATGGCAAACCAGAACTATACACGCTGCGTCACTTTCATTAGTAGAAATATAAACGTTGTGTTAAAAAAGGTGTACCGAGAAAATTGTATGATGTTTACAGGCAACAAATAAAGCAGGTCTTCTGAGCAGAAAGTCTAGTTTGGAGGATTACCCAGTTTCTGCACTTGTCAAAGAAGTTCCAGATTATCCTTCTTGCCCTGTAAGCGTGGAGCAACTACACAGCGCCACACGCAGTAACGAGACTTTTGGAAACAATGCTTCCTTCAGCAGAGGGTTCGTTCTTCCCACCAGCACACACTTACAGAGAGAATCAAGGGCAAATTCCCTTCCCGTTCTATTTGCCTGTAAAACCCCGTCAGATACAATTGCGTTTGGAAGGCCAAGATCCCTCCCCTGTAACACCAAAGTAGCTGAAAACTTACGGGTTAGAAATTTCAACTAAATTACCAACGCAAACGTAATCTTTCAGCTTTCTCTCGCAAACGCAGTCACTGTTGTGGAAAGAGTATGCTTGCCCCTACCCTCTTGACTGTTCCACCACCGATTATCGGCTTGTGTGGAATTCTGAAAATATTCAGCCCTGAAAATATTCAGGGCTTCTCTAAACATCCCCAGATGTTAGATTCATCCAGGTTAGCCCTGCGATCTTCCAGGTCGCTAACAGCAGGGACCACTGTCATACCCATATTTCTAGATATATTTCCAACCACCAGTAACCGGTGGATTTCTTCCTGAACCTAGCAAACTTCTGCATAAGCTCATCACTGCCTTACAGCTTGAGATTAAGTTTGTATTCAAAGGCACATTTACCATTCTGTTGATACACGGGCGTCTTCATTTGAGACTGCCGCTTCTCCTGTTAAAAAAACAAAACCGAAACAATAGAAGAACTAGCCGGCTTGTATCAATGCAAGAGGAGCATCATTCTAAGGAGCGCTCATTGTAAGCCTTAACCGAGTAAAAGCATTATTTTTCTAGCTAAGAAACTTTTTTTTTAATAAACACAGGACGTAAAACTGATTTACAGCAACTGGCTGTTAAGAAAAAGGAATCAAACTAGAAATCTTTGTTTAACATTCCTTACCTCGTTCATTTCCAGCCTATCAGTATCTTGTTGGGGACTCGTGCCCTGATCAGAACTTCGTTCTCCTTCTGTATCTTCACTGAGCATATCTTCTGCTTTATCAATAATATCTTTCATTTGTTCGATAAATGTCTCTTTTTCACTCTGCAATATGAATTCATTCTCTACCTATAAGGCCACATCAAAATAAAGAGGAAAACAGTAATGTTCGATTAACGTGCCGTTCCACAGCTACCGGGAAGCTTGGTCAACAAGCACGCATGAGAATAGGTTGGCTGAAGCAACCTGCTGCATTAGGAGACTGCGGGCAGCCGCATCACCAACTCTTACCATGTAGGTAGCAATTTCCTCTGGCGCATCGCCATCCAAATCAAACTTAAAAGTCACCATTTTGTGATTGTGTGTTTCAAGCTGGCACTCCACCATCTTATCCCCCGTGTTACAAACCTGCAGGCAAAGATTAACAGCCGTTATTTCTGGCACAGCCGAAGGAATCCGAAAGTCGCCCTCAGAGAGATTGTACTTGCATTTAATATGGTCAGTTTTGGTCTGCTGGACTTCTCCTGGCGTGAACGAGCGCGTGTAGATTTCTTATGTTTCTTTGAAGACTTTCCTTCTTGTTTTCCACTTCCTATTGCTCCTTCAAAGCTGTCACTCATCTCTTTACCCGAAGCAACATCTGGACTCATGTAGCTTTGTGAGAGAAAGGGAGAAAAACCCCAAGATAAAACCACCGTCACACACGACGGAGTTACGCATAGGTAAGATACACAACAGAGACTGAAACAAAAAAAGGGTGTACATCTGCACTCTTTTGGCTCAAACGGAGCCCGCTACTGAAAGATGCTCAGCACCTGAAGGGACTACTCCAAGTCAGGCACGTTCTCTGGCTATCACACCTAATAAGAAATGACCTATTAACATTTCTGCCAATACCATAGGGAACGTCCCATCACTCAATATATCAATACATCCCCTAATCCCTTCACTTCAGGGATCCTTACGGTCCCTCTCTGAACTGCACAAGTCCCTGTTTTCCTACGGTCCAGGTTTCTCAACTCCTGCCTGTCAGCACTCACAGCACAAGGTCTGAACGGGGCCAGTTTATGTTTGTCGGAGATGAAGGAAAAGAGTGAGAAGTCGGTACAGCATCCCGTAAGAGACTGCCTCTCCTCCCTCTGCAGTTCTCAGGAACCAGAAAGAAGGTTTTATGCCACAGTATCCCAGATGACCAGCTAGCAACGGTATATTATTTTTAGCAGCCAAAACAGTAGCTGCTAACAACCTTATTGTAATATGACGTGTACAGAAAACATCAACATGCAAGTAATTTGCAGGAAATTTTCAAAGGTTCATAAAAACCATGTCAGGAAGGAGCCTTGTAAGGCCATCTGGCCTATTTATTACCCCAAGGTATGATCAGCTCTGTCTAAACCAGTCCTCACAGAGGTTTGTGTAAACTGATCTTACAAAGCTCCCGGGAGGTTTCACAACCTTCCTGGGCAATTTATTCTTGTGTTCATTTAGCCATACAGGCATACAAGAATTTAAGTCTAACCTATGGATCCCTTGCTTAAATTTAAAGCCTTTACTTCTTGTTCTGCACCAGTTGCACAGAGCAGCCTATTTCTACTCCCTTTGCAGCTACCTTGTATGTGCAACTTGTACGTTAGGAAAGTGAACACATTTTGCGCATAGGATATAGGTCACATCTTTGCTGCAATTGCCAGCCATTCGATTCATGTGCCATTACCCTCCACTCTACAAAAGCACAACCCAACTCCAGCGCTGAGTTACCTATGCACCTGGAAAAGAGAGACCTCCCTGTACGACTACGAGACGTGTGCTGACACAGACTCCCCGTGCTGCTGCAGTCACGACAGTCAGCTTCTCAAACACAATTCTGGAACAGGCAAATTAGAATTCAATAGATGACTGAAAATTTGATGTGCCTTTCTACAACAGATTAGATAGACAAAATGAACTCATTTTATGTAACTTATTTATAGCCAGAACTAACCTATAGTCATGAAAAATTAGATTTCACTTTCCATGCAGTATTTAAAAGTAGCAAACTCTTGGGGAAAAAAGGTTCCATTTTAAGGTTGTGGGGTTGCATTGACTTGTGTCAGGCTAACTTTTTTGGTGGGGCAGGATGGAAACAGTAGGAGAGAGGTGTCTCCAAAGTTCATAAACTTAACTCATCTTGTCTACTCAGGAAAATAGAAAAGGGTCACGAAAATCCTACCCCCAAAGCTTTATACTCAGTAAGAACAACGTTGGTGCTGGCTCCTGCATTAGGCAAGGCATTCAGCTGCTTATGAACACACACTGTTCGTATCTACCTTATCCATATCCAAACACTGAAAAACCTGGCTTACTGCTCGTGCCGAAGCAGGAGCTGTAGCACGGGAGCAGCAGCTGCCTGGGGAGGGGGAGTCCTGCCCCCAAAGCAGCAGCCACCACCCCAGTCAGCCCCTCTCCAGTCCAGCAGCGAGCCTTCCTCTCCAGGGCTCTTCCTCACTGCTTCCTCCAAACCTTGCGGCTTCCCAGTACAGAAACAGGCAGAGGAGGGCTGGCAAAAATGGAAATTTGCTTTCGTTTCTGAGGAGTGCTGAGCTGGCTCTGGGGGTTATTTATCGTTAGTTCTGCAGTTAGCATTACTAAGCTTGAGTGTGACCTCGCGCACTGCAAAACCACAGAACGGGCTTTGGCCGCGTGTCCTAACGCTTGTTGTAACGATACCTTTGAGTGGCTCACACACAACTCTCACCGATACCCCAGTCCCCGTTAACGTACCTGGGGAAAGGTCATTACAGAAGGTGATACAGGCATACCCAGTCCGAAGAGGGAATAAACTGTATACCCCGTTATACTAGCGTGGCATGTCTTTATACAGGTCCAACGGCATCCAAACCAGGGACTGTACCACTTCAGTTATCTTAACAAAAGAGGTTACACGTTGAAATGAAAGCTGTTGTACATACATGGAAGGCTAGGATGCAGCACCCGAACTACAGAATTAAGAGTTGGAGGAGCTAAAATAGGCACGCTGCACACAGAGTATCTGCAGCTTTCTCCCTAGATGTGCACCCTTCCATCTCCTCCTGGTCAGCTCCTGCTACTCTTCTCTCAGCCAAGGCAAAGGCCGGGCATTTGGCTTAGCCTTGTAAAGAGAGAGAGAGGAAAAACAGCCTCCAGAAAGAAAACATTTCTTATGCCAAAGAGATTATAAGGATACCTTTCACAGCTCTGTGACAGAGTTTGAAGTTTGTCCTGTATTGCCTGCTCCTAAAATGTAAGAAAAAGTCATTTAAGTAAATGCATTATATTGGCAGATGAAAAACACCTTTAAGAAAGCTTTGCTGTTGAGACACCAGTAATCCTAAACCATTCTGTTTAACCAATTCTTGGAACTCAGAAAAAAATAAACGTCCCGTTGTACCCTCCCAACATTTCTTCTGTCCAAAGCATCGATATCGGTGCACAACCACTTTTTAAGACAGAGCCGCTAATCTGCTAGTCCCCTTCTGCTGTCTCTAAAGCAGAAGAGGTGGCGAGGGAAACAAAACAGTTCTCACCACAATGGAAAAAACCTGACTGCAGGACAAATCCACATCAGCACCTACCTAATGTTTGGGGTTTTTTTAATGGATATAAAGTATAAACTAATTTGCTTCATTGCTTTGTATAGTTTCCTGAAATATGTTAAGTATTTTCATTGTACTTGGCTTATTGCGAAAATTTCTGGGGAACTTACAAATAAAAGATGAAAAAATCATTATTTAAAAACACCGCTCTCATATCATGTCCTCTTGCTCTCTACACAATAGAAATTTTCCCTAAAAGCTTCCCTCTTCCCTGGTTGCAATGCTAGGACAGACATCGATAGCGTGACTTTCGCACTGGGCCGACCTGTTTTCACAGACTTTGTGGTGACGATGCTGCTGGCCCTACCGCAACAAACTTATCACATATATACACAGACCCCCCCCGCCCATACATGTATAGAACTGTGTATGTATACACCCCCCCAAATATATTCATAAATATATATAATTTTAAATATATATATTTTTTATATATATATAAGCAAGCATACGTCTAAAACCCTTCTACAGACACACAGCTAGAAACAAGCCCCTGACTGTCATCACTACATCTTAATACCAAAGCAGTTGGTAGACCGGCGTAAAAGCTTAGCGGTTAACCAGTCACCCCCGCTCATCGCTTATAATGCCACACGTATGCCACGCCCAGCTTGACTGCAGTTTCGGTAAAACTGCAAAATTGATGAACAGTGAGAACACAGACATAATGTATCTGAATTTTAGTAACGTGCTTGATCAAGTGCCTTACAAAAATCTCATTTGCCTGGTCAGTTCAGACTGCTTTGGATGTGAGCACTGCCACACATTTAAACAAAAGATAAGAGATAAAAACGTTATGGCAGAGTAGCAACAAAATGCAGTGTTTCGAACATATACAGCTATGACCCTCCTCTTACAGCCAAGAAAACCTTAGCAATATATGTCATAAGGTCAGCATGGGGAGCACGTTGATCCATTTGACCATCCTACGATATTGGATTGATTTCTTCAATTGAAGGAGAGAACTTACAGATGAAATATGAGAATGAAGTTAGCAAAACAGTGGTTAAACGTTCCTAGGGATATGATAAAGTGACAGGACAGACACGTGCCTCAGTGGGCATGGATTTCTCAGGTAATGTAGGACAACTTGTATCCCCCGTATCACGCTGCACAATAACAATGAGGTTCATTCATATTTCCAGAATCTCTCATGGGATGGCCCCTGCATTGAAGGCTGTACCTTTGGCATCAGCATGGAACCCGACGTGAGCTGTGCGTACAGAAAAAAGGCAGTTGGAGGAGAAATACCTTGAGTAAGGGATGTGCCTGACACAGCCAGGCTTTACTAGGGGATTCTGCAAGTGAAGCACTATATGTTTCTGCTATAACTAACCCAGAGGACACAGAAATTCACCAGGAAACGTCCGGCATCACAGCACGAGTATTTATTTTACAAGAATTAGACTGACACTAGAAGAACAGGCAAAATGGGGAACTAGAATCTAGTTTTAGTATTAGCAGCATCCTTACTGAACATCTGGAAGAGGAGTTAAGCTGTACCGCTAACGAAATTCGTAGGCTGTACCGTTTAGTCAAGGCATGCAGCAAGTGCATGGAAGCACGGGTTTCAAAAACCAAAACCAAAAACCCAAAACCCCAAGAGATTCAGTTTGAAAAGATGGAAACTTACTTTGGGAGGAAAGGTAGCTCAGAACAGAGAGCCTCAAGAGGAGCAATTCTGAAAGCAGAATCGCTGAGGGACGTTTCCATTCAGAAGTGGAGAACAAATTAGAGTTATTTACTGAAATCTGGTACAAATGCCAAAAGCTTTGTTTTGCTTTGCTTATTAAAGAGTTGAAGAGGAAATGCTCTGTGACATTCCGTCAAGACTGAAGGTTAAACAATTACGGGAGTGGAAAGAAAAGTCAAAATAGCAGACAGGAGGAGCTGACAGTTTTATAAAGAAAACCAATAAAATGTATCTTGCTTGTGTGACCACTGAGAATTGGGAATGCCTATGAATATCTGAAGAAACACGAATCCCAGGGCTAGACTAGAATTCAGGCAATACAGGAGGATACAACGCTAAATGAAATGGGAATAAGGCTCAAGCTGAGGAACATGAAGAGCTTTTACATAGTGAAGGATCAGGGTATGAAACGGTTTCTTAAGGCAAATGACGGCTGTTTGCACAAGTGCTTGAGACATTTAAAACAAGACTGGACAAAACATGGATGAAATTCTGCAGAACAGCTTCTCACTGACCCACAGCACTTAAAGAAAGTAATACCTAGCTCTGCGTTTGTGCTCAGCTACGGACAAAGAGGTACTTAGTCCTGCTGCCTCATTACTTCAAGGAGACGTTTCACAAGGTACAACATGCATTTTCCAGCTTCGCCTGAAATAGCCAATTTTTTGCTGACCCAGAGTTGCTGGCATCTAGGACAAGCGGCTCTATATGATGAGCGGGGATAATCTCCCTTGTGAAATAAGCCCATTATTTCGCAAAGGAGTAAGAAAGAAGGTTAAGGGTGAAGCTGGTGAGTTACTTCAGAGGAAAGGGCTCTACCTCTTGAGATGCCTCTGCCTGGACGGCTGAGGAGGGAGCTGGGAGCTGCTGACCCAGCGGCTGGGAAAGATCGGGCTGAAGCTGCAGCAGACCAGAAGGCTGAAGAGGCAGACAGCGATCTACGGGGACGGGCGGACTCGCTGTAGCAAGGCTGCCATGAATCTGCGGAATGCCTTCTGGAGCGACGCGGGGAGGCAGCAGTTCAGGCTGCAACTGCAAAGGCGGTGACATGACTATCGAAGGTTGCACAGGCAGCACGGGCACCTGGGCTCCAGCTTCCAAAGCATACTGAGCGTGTCCAGTAATCTGCTGTAACACAACAGACAGCTATTAAAACAAATCTCTACTTAGAGTGCTTGTGACTTACATGCCGGGGTACTAAAGCCACCGGAGTTCACGGAAAAAGGATTATAATTCTGCAGTGAGACCGCATTTGTGTGGTCTCTGCTTGGAAAGGTGACTACTTAGGAGTTTAAACTTGCTTTCAAACGGCCAGACAAAAATTTGAGGATTCTTCCTGTATAATTATGACAGTGTGTGTATTGCTCAGGCGCTACTTCATTTATGGAAACAAAGCCATATTTTGCTAAGAAATTAAAATCTTAGATTATGAATTCATTGTCCTGAATAGTTTGCTCTTCTTTCAAGGAGCATACCACAACGTCCATGCAGAGAAAAATATACTCTACCTGTAATCTAAATTAGGATTTAAAAAAAAAAAAATCTGTTTTATATGTAGAACCAGTAGCTGGTATAGACCACACAATTAACTCTTTTTTACTGAATATACACCAGTGTCTTTCGGAAGATGTTGTTTTCCATTTAGTTAAAACATTTAAGAGACAACTTAAATCTTGACACGCTAAGCAACGAGGCCCCAAATCCTGCAAACGCTTCCTTGTGTCACACACACAGAGGAAGTTTCATTTATCTCAGTGGATTTCTTCAGTGCATTAAAATAACTCGTGTGCGTAAGTGCTTTGTGGGAACCGGACTGATGCGATTAGATGCCCGCTACCTTAGAGACTGTTGTTATTCTGCATAGCAGTTCTGTTGTACATTTAAGAACAGAACATTCTCCTTTTAGGTACACCATGTATTTTTCCAAGGGGACTGAGCTTGTGGGAAGAGGAAAAAGTTAAGAAAGGAAAATATGGAAGAAAGCAGGCTTTTTAGTATTAGGTAAAACCCTGTCTAATTTTTACTTTAAGGTATCATCACCTAGAAATTTAGACTATTTGGAGAATATATTAAAAAAAAAAAAATCAAGACTCAGATGAGAACTAGGCCACACAATTTCGTTACTGCATGCTCTCTGCAGATTCTGCATATGAGCCGAAATTGTTATTCCAGGTTTAAATGAGGATAAAAATAAAGACGCGGTGTGCTTCGCAACACGTAACAGTTACACGACTGCCTAAGTGGAGGCTGTTAGAATAGCAACTGTGGTGTACATTGCAGAAGAGCAGTGATTTTTATTTATTTTTTTTTTAAATCTTATATAACTAGAATAATTCACAAAATGTTTCAATGGATAATTTACCTGGGCAAAACTAAACTCAGAGGAGCTAAACATCAACTGCCAAAACAGCAGTGCATTGCAAAGCCTTTATTTACAGAAATACTTCTCTATTAAAAGTACTTTAAAACACAGAACAATGTATTTTTGAATATTCCTCTGCACTTGTCCATTTTGTTTGTAATAACTATTTTTTTAATCCTAAAAAAATTACTATTTATCCTAAAAATTTCATCCTAAAAAAATTACTATGAAATTCTTGCATACATATTTGATAGATAATGACTGTGTCAGGACTGTTTGGGAATATCAGTTCTCCAGTTTTGGTGTTTGCCGTGCTTGCTGTGCGTAACGGGCCCGATCCAATTCCCCCTAAAGCCGTCGGAAACACTATGGCTAACGAGCTCAGCGGCAACTGTCCCGGGCTCCGTGTTGTCTACATTTTCACAAACAATATTTCTGTACCAAATATACGGCTGAAGAGAGAAATTTAAAAATGAGGTACTACTTTGAAGATGCCGTGATATGGCAGGTTGAAATGGGATGTTATGAATTTTAATCAATATGTTATGGCAAAGTGATGTAGTAGAACACAGATTTTCAAGAATGCTATTATTAACAGGCTTAGTGCTCTCTCCTGCTTGGGTCAGACTGCATTTCATGTTGTCATATCACAGATGTGGCAACAGAAGTATTCACAGACTCTGTCAACAAGTCCTGAACCAGTTCTCTTGTAAATAGTGCTAATATTAGAAGCTCCATTTTATGCTTCATTTCTTTTAAGGGGGAAAGGGTCTGCAGCTAGAATTCATTCTTGTCTGATAGACCTCTTCCGTGCACTTTTCTGGAGTCGTTGTCGAACGGCCATTTCCCTTTACTGTTTTAAAGCAGTCCTACATCAAAACCGCCCCATCGGTTCGCCCACTCCTGCCAGCTTGCCCCTGTTTCGCCATGAGCATACAACAGCCTGCGCGGGCGTCGTGCGCAGACCGGAGCAAAGGCATCAGCAAGGCTGTGCAGCTGCTGTCACGGCCCAGCCTCTTCCCCTGCCACAGGAGACTGACAGCTCACGCTTCGAGAAGGAAGAGGGGATTCAAAAAGTGCTCATCTGCTCACTTTCCAAAGCCCGTTAGATTATTCCCTGTACCCCCTCGATATTCACCTGTCCCTGGATTAAGACCTCACCTGCTCCACCTGACTTTGCACCTCTAGCAACCACCTCCGGGACCAAGGTCGAGAAGTTAACAAAACATCTTAAGAGCAAGGAAAAAAAAAAAACCAAAGCACCTCCCCACTGCGTGTTTACAACGGAGCGAGCCCCGGGAACGCCTGCGTTCAGTAACCACCCTACGGTCCAGCATCGACACGGCCCCACGCCCGGTGGATTACCTGGTGACCAGCCCCAGGCGCAGGCAGAGGCTGTTCTGAAGGATGAATTATGCTTGGCTGAAGTGACTGCGGAGGTGGAGGTTGCTGCGGCTGGGGCACTGCTTGCGTGCTCTGCGTGTGATGGGGAGAGGGCGCTTCGCTCTGAATGATCTGCTGGAAGGTGGTCTGGTACATCTGCTGCTGGGGGAGCTGGGGCACCCCGTGATGCGGTGGCAACGCCGGCACTCCCGGCGGAGCCACGGCAAGCAACGGTATCGTAGCAGCCGACATATTTGGCACTATTGTTTGGCAGGGCAAGACCAAAGAAGCCACGGTCGTATGAGGAAGGTTGACCGCCTGCATGGGGAGGGCAGGGGAGTTCGGTGCCATAGGCAGAGTGGGGTTCATGGGGAGGCTGGGTAAGATCACGGCCGGAGCAAAATACTGAGAAGGAGCAGGTATGGGGGGCACGTTTGCAGCAGGTATATCAGAGAGGTTTGGAGGAAGGCTGTCAAGTCCTGCCAGAGGAGTAATTGCAGGAATGACAGGAAACTGAGGAATCTGAAAAAAATATAATATCACATAAATTGCAAGCGCTTTCACTGATGGTACAAAATAGTTTCATTTGCCATACAAGTACGTAGAAATCACCTGTGCCACGATGATAATTATGTCTGTCTGTTAATCACTTCCATTCATTTCCTGAGGTTTATAAACAGTAATAAAAACCGATTTATGCTTAAATCATTAGCAGAAGAGAAAGAATTTCATTTGGGGGGGACGTTTTTATACCTTAGGAGCTTAAAACTATTTGTAACACTAGCTGGAAGCCTTCAAGGAACATACTAATTAAAAGCTGCTTTCATTTTAACAGAAATGGAAAGGAATTGATTGGACCAGAAAAAAATGCAAAACTCTCTCATGCAAAATTCAGTAAGACAATTTAAAACCCTTGTCTTTAAACAGGTTGGCTGCAACCCAGGCAGCACAGAAGATCCCGTAAAAGGGTTTTTATAATCAAAACCTCCCGGTGACATAGCGGACTAACTACCCTGTCATCACGGAAGCAGCTTGCTTCTTCCCTTTTGGCGCAAGCTGCTTCACGTCATAGTGGCTGTCACCAGCAAACACACCGATAGCACCAACAAACCCTTCCGGGCCAAGGGAAGGGTCCGTCCCTGCTACCGAAAACAGAAACAGGGCTGAGAGCTGAGGGGGTGGGGGGTGGGTGCTGCGGGAAGTGGCGAAGTCAGGAGCTCAAAAACAACAGAAATGGGCAACTTGTCATGCTCTTAAGCCTGGGATGGGGAAGAGAGTATGCCAGAGAGGGGGGGCAAAACAAAACAAAACAAAAAACGCAGTTATCGCAATTTTGTAACTGCCTTTCACTGGATTCTCTAGGCACCACACGGGATTGCTCACAAAGGAGATTTTTGCTTCACCAAACAAAAACAAATAGTAAAGAAATATACAGGAATTAGGAAACAGCTATATTCTTATGGACTAATTAAATTGGCATGCATTCAAAATAGCCACACAAAAACTGCAAATCACGTTAATTATTAGCTGGAAAGCTTTACTCAAACGGATGTATTCACACACCGTTTTCAAAGATATTACCTGGGAAGGGGCCACCGGCGGAAGCTGCGGCACAGTCGATATCTGCAGGGGCTTTAGTGGTGTACTGCTAGCTGCCACCTGAGAGGTCTGGGGTTGATACTGGGGCAATAGATGGGCCGCAGGCTGGATTGGGCAAACCGGCTGGCTGGCAAGCACCTGCTGCAGAGACGCTTGCTGCGACAGGGGTTGCTGCTGGGAAAGGAAAGAAGAGTAAGAAGAGGTTATAGCCTGTGTATTATGAAAGAACCACTTCGCTGGACACGGCCACCCGTTTCTCTCTCTAGTTCAAGCCGCACAGTCAGAACAGAACTGTCGCTCGGCGTAGGGATGGTTTATAGAAGACAAGGGCGCTCCTAATGTAAACGCTGTACAAGAGCCTATGTTTAAAACACATTTAAATGCAAGATACGTTACCCGAAAAGACAAGTTCTAGCTGTCTTGGAAAGGTTATTTGTAACGACTCAGACTCTTTAAATCCCAAAGATGGTTCTAGTTGGCCCTGTAAAATCCCCACCTACTAACTCCAAAGATTCCTACTACGCAGTTTATACCCAGCTAACCTTGGCATTCAAAAGCTGACTACATAATGTAGCAGGCATGGAAATATACAACGCTTACTACCTGAGACATGACTAAAACACAATAATTATAGTAAAAGCTGGATCCCGGTTGTTTCTGAGGTGCTGTAGTAAACGTGGCAGCCAAAAAAGCCGTTTTACCACTCCAGGGAAAACAGTGCTCTACCGGCCTGCCAGATTTCATGCAGTAGAACAGAAATAAAAAGCCGTGTTAAAGCTGAAAATAATCAGTAACAAACTTTCGCATTTTCCATGCTACCGGTATCTCCTTCTTCAGTTCCCCTAATCAATGCTGAAAGTACTTTAAAAAAAATCTTCTGTTTCAGAAGCATGGCACCGAGGCACCACGTCGGCTCCGGATTGACCTACGTGGGACCACAGGACTGACCGCTTCACCCGGGCTCTGCAGCACAGGGAACCTAACATCACGCCCGATGGTCAAAGGTAACTGTAAAATGAATAGCCAAGCATCATGATCTTTCATCTTCGCCACTTCCACCGTAAATCAGTATCGTAATATTTTGCTCTGCGCTTTTTTTAGTAGCAGGAGTCTTCAACCAGAGTTTTTAGGTACTAATACAATAAAACTGTAGAAGATGTATCAAGGAAGCAGGATGCCGTCCACCCTTAAATAGCTAAAATTCAACCACGACTGGTAAGTTTCCAATACAAGGATCAGTGAACAAAAGAGTATTTGGCAACTGGTATCGAGTGTCCGGGGCTGAATGCACCGAATGCCACAAGCAGTGCAAGACATGCTGGAGGCGGCATTGAATAACTCTGCACAGCACCGGCTCAGCTCCTGCAGTGTTTATTAGTCCTGTCGGAGTATTCATCTTGCCACATTAAAGAAAAAAACAATGACGTGGCTCTGTATTGCAGTTTCTCCCATTCCAGGCTTTGGGAAAGCAGGGGCATTTACCCAAATAGAATCCCAAACTCAAGAGAACGGCAGCGCCAATGCAAACAAGGGGCTCAGCAGGAGCTGGCCTGGCACTGGTGGTAAGACAGAGCAAACTGGCCGAGATGGACCCCGCCTGAGGCATCGGGGCAGCCCCCACTTGAGCCCCGACTCATCCCACCGCGCGAGCTCTGCTCCACCAGGCTCCTCAGCTCTGCAGCACGGGAAAATCCTGCCAGACCTGACCCGACCTCCGGGGCAGAACAGTCACACTCACACGGTGCTGGGCTGGAGCTAATAAACCCTGCCAGCACACAGAGCCAAGCTCAGGTATCTCGGCATCCCTGGCTGGGTTAATCTGCAGCTCAGACAGGCTGCCCACAGATAACTGAGGATTGAGCACGCTGACACAGGCTGGTCAACACACCTTCGACTCGAGGGGACACTGCGTTAAGAGCAGAAAAAAACCTGTGCTCGTGGAACTAAGCAGCTTCCTTAAGCCTCCGTTTTCAAGTCAACTTGTGTTTTACAAAACGTTTGTGAATTGGATGAAGCATAGGGAGGGGAAAATATCCAAATGAATTACGCTAACTTTGCCTCATTATAACCTTAACATTATAAATGCACAGATACCCAAATTGGAAAAAAATAATGAGGAGATGCAATATCGATCCCACGTGTCTGAGCCATCAGTGAATATTCATACAAGATCCATACATTCCATTCTGTTAGACAGATTAATTTTCTCATCTGATTTCCCGTTCTCTTGACCTGCCCTACCGCTCATTTACAACAGACTGCAGATCTCCACTGCTTAGAGCATCATGCCTGGAGGCTCTGGGAACACCAGACCTACTTCTGCCTGGGGCACACAGGTGCTCTGGGAAGTCCTGCACAGAAACTTTATCATTTTACCTATTTCTGTGATAATAATACTGTAAAAAGTCTGTCTTTTATTGGGCTTCCTGGCAAGATTAGAAAACAAAGACAGAATAGTTATTAAACCCTTTTACTATCAGGGATAGAATTATTTCAAGAGACAGCAACGCTGTGAGGAAAGGGCATGTGAAAGAAATTGAGCAAGTTGGGCAAATATCCTGTTCCAAACCAGCATTTACTCATGGAGGGAAAATAAACAACAGATTTTGAACTGTCAGCATGAAGCTCCAGAGGCCACTAGAGATCTGTGCAACTGGTGAGATCCTAAATCTGCATAAGCGTAAAATTTTTGGCTGAGAGAACCATGAGAATATCTTTGCCCTTTAGAAAAAAATCATGATATATGACAAAACTTCACATAAGCATGTGTTTTTCCAGGAGACCAAATTACATTGTTCTTATACTGATGCTTTCAGAAGAACAGGGCACATTAAAAAAAAAAAACAACAACAACAAACCAACCTGTGAGATAAATGTTGATAACTAAAAAGGTTTGGAGAGGCATGATACATGCCAGTCAAAAGTGTCGTACAGACACTCCCCAGCCCCATCAACAGTTTCTACCGAAGGAAGCCAAGGCTTTTGGTAGAACCACAAAAATGAGCCACGAATTACCACCTTGTACGGGTCTGTGGCTGCATTCCTTACAGGCTGACACCACCTCCGCACGAGGAGGCGACTGCAGCCTTCGCAGCTGCCCCTCAGCTGCTCGACAGAGGTGTTTCGGTAAACGCCTTTAAGGAACACAGGTTTTGGGGGGAATTTGGTTAATTCGAAATGCACAAAGAATTACTATTTGGAAACAATTCAGCGAGAGACAGATTCTTCTCTTGGAAGATAAAGCTACTGGCTGGATGCCTATACGGAACTATATTTAACACGCGTGCACAAGTCAAAAAGCAGCATCGCCGAGGATTTAAAGACAATTGACACCAGGCAACAGAGTCTCCTTCTAAGCTTTTAGAAAGGCTAGAAAGGAGGTGCCAAATAATAACACAAAATTAATAAAAAAACTATTTGGTTTCTAAGGACCAAGGTAGTACATTGAAATCAATGCAAGGCTTCAAGCCAATGCTGTTAAGCCACAATGGAAGAGAAGTCTTAAGCTACATCAAGACGTTCCAAGGTATCACACAACGATTGTCCTCGAGCCCGTTATTCTCCCGTCCCTTAAACCCAGCGCCCTTTGCCCCATCCCTAAATCTCTCCAGCTGCAGCTCAATAGTTTCAAACACCTCACACTTGCTACGGGTATGGGTTGAAGCAGAGCACGGGCAAGGAATGGGATGAGAAAAGCGCTTTTCGGCAGCGGCCAAGCTCTCACCTGCTGGCTGGGGACCCCCGGCTGCGGCTGCCCCAGCTGCAGGGGGGCGACGGTGGTGGGCTGGACGACGGGGGACGGCATCGCCGGCTCCTGGTAGTGCTGGGGCCGCTGGGAGACCACCGCGGGCGCAGCCTGAACCGCGGGGAGGCCAGGCTGCAGGAGGGAGAGCACTGCTTTAGAGAAGAGTCACCCTCACGTTAAGAGTCTCTGCAACGGTTCACCAAGAATACAGGTGCAAGGGAATACTCTACGGGGTACTTGGTTCAACACAGAGGGGAAAAAAAAAATATGAAAAATTATCTGCAAGGAAAGGAAGAAGTTACTTAATCTAAACACGAGGAAAAGAAGCCGTCAAATTCCAGATAAGACATCCAAACTGCTTTGCGTTTCTTTCTGGAAGCAAGCGTGCAGACCAGTAAAACCACTGAAAGCACACACACGGTGAGAATATGCCAACAGCAACCACAAGCCGTTAACTGGATGAAAAACAAATTTATCTTCGCGAAGATTTTTATAATTTCATAAAGAATCTTTATCTTCCAAAAAAGCAGGTAATTTACTTGAAATGGATGCCAAGAAAATGAATAGAGAAATGAGAAACAAATTAAAACCACAGTGGAAGTGAAAACAAAAAAAATTAAAAGAAATTCAGATAAGGTTTGTAACAACAGCAGTTCTCAAACTTCAGCTCAAAGTAGATAAATTAAAAATAAACAGTATGTCAGACTGAGGCTCATAAGCCTAAAAAACAACCTACTACAGCTCCAGTTATGTGCTTGTTATCTTCGTAAATAATCTCCCAGATAAATAGTGATTTTTTTTTTTTTCTTGGAAAATGGAAGGTTTTGAGTCAGACTTTTGTTTCCTGTCTTCGTTGAGATTTTCAAACCTTGGAACTTTTTACTTAGGTTATCGCAGGAAGAAAAAAAAATATGGAAACCCCATCAGAAAATGAAAGGCTAGGAGAAATATTTTGCTCGTGAATAAAAGTTATTATCTTGCCAAACCCTCAATCACGAAAAAAGTAATGCATTTAGGTTAAAATTACTGAAACCTATCAATGGAAAGAATGAGTCTGCTCTAAGAGAGTGTGCTGCACAGCTCAATTTAATAAAAAAAAAAAAATTAGTAAAAAAAATTCTGCTCAAGATGTGCCTTTTGAGTGTTATAGTTACGAGTTGTTAAGGTAGTGCTTCAGGTGAACGGGAAAGGAGGAAGGATGCATCCCAGGAGACGTATGCACACGGGAAAGGTGGTTTCCATGGTGGAGGGAGCTGGCTACAGATGCCAAGGATGAATTTTCTTCCTTCAGGAGTCACGTTTCAATGCATTCACAAAGTACAGTTCACAACTTCTTGCAGGCATTTTGGAAAATATAAGGTAAAACCAGGGAAATTATGCACTTCCCAAGTACGTAGGGTAAACCTGGATCAAGCAGGAAAAGACCATTGGTCCTGGATTTTATTTTTTCTTCTCTTAAGTCAAATAGGATGAAACAAAAAAAAAAAGTTAACCTACCACATCATTACTATCATTTTTACTAGGCAGGTTTCTTCCACTGCTCGGGGTAGCTGCAGTCACCAACTTGCTCTCCGCCAGCGGTGTTTTGCCAGCGCACACTTCACAGCAGGGCTGGGACCATCCAGGCACGCTGGCTTCTCCGCCATCGCAGGATTCAGAAGGCAGAACGTTTTCTGCAACCCTTGCACATTTCACAGGAGAAGAACTGGTCTTTTGGCTAATTATGTATTGTAAAGATTCATGTAACAGAGGCAGCTCTAAACTCCTGCCCCACGGCCTGCTGATTTGCAGGAGAGGTTGAGACACTGAGTTTTCTGGGAGTTGGCTACTGGGGGAGTGAGCATTTTCAACAGGCATCAAGACTTCTGACGCGTTTTGATATTGGCCAGACTGACATAAACAGGCTAGGCACGTCTGACGAGGCTGTTGAGAAGCCATTAGCTCCGCAGGGTGTGCAGAGGTCCCCAATGCCACCAGAGGCGATGCGCCTGCTGCCTCTTCTCCAGTCTGCAGATACACGTTTTCCTCTCGCGGTTCTTGGGGAAGGGACGTTGCGTTTGGAGTCAAAGCCACGACGGGGTCACCGTGGCGGCGAAAGGCAGCACGAGCACTGCCTGCCCTGTGTAGTGGGTGCAGGCTGGAACTGGAACACGGTGCTGCCACAGCTTCTGAAGGACACAACGTGCTCATGTTGTGCCTCTCACTGGAAGCGCCTGAAGATTTATGTTCACTCGCATGTGTTTGTTCTTGCACCAGTAGTTCCATTAATTGCTTTTGGTCAAGGTCATAACAGCATGAAAACGGGAGCAAGCATGAATGTCTGACTGGGCTACCAGTGCCTGATTTTGGAGCCTCAGTAATGGACGTACGTTGCCATCTCTGTGCAAGATTAAATCCAAACCCAGAGCCAGAGAGGCAGGGACTGGATGCGTGACTTTTGTCAGAACTGGAAGAAACATCAGACCCAAGAGGCTCTTGAACAAATGAAGGAACAATAATGTGTGGCTATATTGACAGTGAACAAACAAAACAGTTCTCAAATACGTGCGGGAATTTAAAACTAGTAATTGCAAAGCTACTAATGTAGTTCAGTGACCAGGGATTGATAAGCTTTTTTACTGAAGGTGTGACAGCTGCCAGTGAAGCGGTTCTTCAGAACGGCAAATGTAGCTAGCCAGACACCATCTACTAAGCGCACATTTCAGATCAACTAGAAATGCATTACTAAGCAAGTCACCATTGGTAGAGCTGAGTGAGGAATACATGAAGCAAGCCCTGGAATCCACACCTACTGAAAACAAGAGCATAAATGAGCCGTTAAGTATGATCTAGGATACAGAATGATTCTGAAAAGCTTTGGACTTACTCCTGAGGGCTGCTGGTAGTGCCCCAGCTGCTGAAGGCTATGGGGCACAGCCTGGCTCTCGCTCAGAGGTGGGCTATACACCCGTTGGATAGCCGGAGGTCCTGGATCAGGCAGAGACGAGTAGATGACGCTTTGCTGGCTGCTTTGGGAGTCTGAATAAACAGTGGACCCCTGGCCACTGTCAAATGTGCTGTCAGCTGAAAGAACAATAGTTTTTATTAAAAGCTCAACAACTCCAAACGTTCAAGTAATGATTTTAGAGCAAGGTCAACACAGGCTTACGTAATTAGCATTTTTACTACCCTAGCCCTTTCCATTATATAAATAAATTATACAACACAAACATTATTCTCTACAAAAAGCGCATACTGCTTCTCTTAAGCCAAAAACCATCCCCATGGATTTCTGTGCACGACGATATTTTAGGCACACTGACATTTCCTTTAAAGGGCATAAGGTTGACATTAAGAATTGCAGACGGTTCTAGATTTTGTAGGATGAAAGGAAAGGAAGCCCCCAGTTGTAACGTTCGTAACAGGTCATGGAGTCTTTTAGAGTTAGATCTCCCAGGGATGTACTGACTTTAACACCTTTTTTATTAGTAGCACTGAAAATTACAGAATTCTTTATATTGTATGCTTTATTAGTTCAGCAAATCATACCCTACTTAAGTATACAGCAATACCTCAAGATGAAGAACAGATAACAAAATAATTTGCAGGTTTGCAGTGATTTAGGAGTACCACTCAGAGCTCTGCCGGAGTTTCTCATGCGGAGTGTTTGCCCAGCTGACCTGCAGAATTGCACAGCTCTGGGTACTGGGCAAGCATCGTATCTTTTCTCAAACGGAAACAGAGCTTTTAACTGTACCATTGAGTATTACTGATTTTAAAATGTCATTTCATGACTTTCAAAGCCTGTAAAGTACAGGTGCCCAGTTCTTCTTGAGCATAAGCTACTGTTTTCTTCATTTGAGAAATGAAATGAGACAATCAAGATCGTAGCTGTAAGTATCCAAAAGACAAACAGCTTGTAAGAGAGATTTAAAACTCAAAACTGAAAGAAAACTAACACAGTTACAAAAAAAGGGCTTAAGTTACAGCTCAGTTTAAATGCTATTTATTTTTCCGACACTTTCCATCTTCTCTTTTTTCCATATTCCAAATCAGGTTTTACTTATTTGGCTTTTAAATAACAAATTATTTTTTTAATAGCACCAGAGATGACATTTCTCCTCAGTACTCACAAACCATTCTCCCAACTGTTTTTTTTTTTTTTCAAAATTAAACTCCCCTCTATATTTATTCAGCTCATTTCTAAAAAGAGTCAACGTGGCCCTACTCTAAGAAGGCAGAGATTTCTGCCGCATACACACTTCCATTTTATTACAAACAATTATTTAAGACCTCAAAGGAGAAAAAAAAAAAAGAAAAAAAAAAAGAGTATGACGGTAGAGTGCTAAAGTAAAAGAAGTGAGTCAGTCTCAGATTTTTATAGAACATGCATTACACACATTAAGTTATTAATTTCCATTTTTACATTTGACCGCAGATTATTATATTAATTGGTAGAACAGTAATTTATAGAGGTCTTAGGCCTAACATCACTAAGAAAACGTTCAAAGACATCTGATAGCGAATTGTCAAATAATACCAAGTATTGGTTAAAAGTTGAGGAGGAGTAGGAAATAAACCGGGGGGTGGGGGGGTTATATTTATTATAAAATTCTGCCAACTGATGTCCAACAGAACCATGGGAAGCACAAGTAGCCTCATTGTACCACTGGAAACAAAACCAGTCATAATTACAGTGTTTCTCAAAGGAATTAGATAGCATGAAATGAGTATATGATGCAAAAAAAAGGAAATGAGATCCATTTAGCTTCAGACAAAAAAGCTTTGTAAATACTGCAATATTCCGAGTGTTATGCAAATATGGCCATTTCTCATATCTTGTAAAGGCTTCTTTTCTTGCAGAGGCATGCTGGGTTATTTTAGTATTCAAAGCAGACCTCTGTATAACAATTTATACAATACCTGAATTAAAGCAGCAGCTGTCTCTTTGCTAAAGATAATGCATCTTTAATATAAATATGCTTACATAAAAGTCCAGAGCAGTAAAACAGAAACATTATGATAATAGTTTACTAGCAAAATATGTACATCAGATTTTATCAGAAAAACTGGCTAGGAAAAAAAGAAAAAAAAAAAACTCTCATAAAATTTCAAATCTTCCAAGCTAAAAATATCTGGCAACATTTCCTTCAAGATGTTTAAAAGCATAAATAGATTAAGATTTCAATACCAGAGCTTGACTCGGTAACAAAGGTTGATTTTAGGGGACAGAGACAGGGACAAGTTACTTCAGGGAAATAAAAACACTACTTCCTCATGCCTTGCTGTTTGCTGGACATTAAGTCTGATGCTCAGAAATAAAACAAAGAAACAACAAGCTCTGCAAGCAAAGCCAGGTAGTTTCTGATTCAGAGACAGACCAAAATCAGCGCTTGGAATTAAAACAGGAGATGTAAATCCTCCTGTCTTGAAACAGCCCCGTGATCGCTCTTGATTCAGCCCCCAGCTGAATGTAAAGACTTGGCAAATCATTGGCTTGAAGCTTCCAGGGCCTGGACGACTGAGGGCCACCAACCTACTCTGACCTGCCGTAACGAAGATCAAACCACCCCCTTGCTTCAAGGTCATGAGCTCAGGACAAAATAGAGAGCCTGGAGGAACACGGAGAGCACCTGCATCATGACCCAAGGACCCCAGTAATAATTACAGTGACAACCCACAAGGTCTGGTGCTGCCAACATGCGTGACCAAACCACAGTTGATATTTCCCACAAAGCAGGGAAATCTTGAATTATATCATGTAACATTTAAAGATGGATTTTTTTTTTTCCCTGCTGTAGACCTTTGCACAGCTTCACAAAAAACTTGACGCAAGCCATCAAGAGTAAGTCACAAAACACAAGAAACCACAGCGCTTTGGTTTCAGCAAGGTCTGCTTTTGAATAAACATCTCCACATTGTCAACATCATTTGAAAAAGCCACCGGTCGCTCTAACCAGTTTGGTGCCAATTCAACTTCTGCAGGCTCTGAAATCGTGTTTCGCACAAACTTAGTGTTGATCCCACCACCTGGCACAGAAAACATGTATTTTTTTGTGTCTAGCAGCAGGTCTTCTTGCTTTTCCATTTACAAATATATTATGCTTTCTGCATTTATTGCTACTGAAGGAGGAGCTATCTCTATATAATATAGTTTTTCTTGAAACTATTTCTTTCAAAATCGTTACGCATCTGTCCGAGACAACTGTGTTCTTTGAGCATGCAAAAACATGCGCAGCAGCTCAACTCACCGCTGAGCTCCCATTATCGCTGATTTTTACCCTCGGACATTCATCACTGCGTGCACACAAAACCAACACGAGACTTACATGCAACGGACGTGACGCTGGTGGGCAGGTTTTGCTGAAAGGGATGCTGGTCCGCCTCAGGCTCCTCCGGCTCCGACAGGACATGGTGACCAGTGTGAGAAAGGTAGGTGACCTGGACCTGCTGAGCATGCGGTGTCTTCAACTTCTCCAGACATTCAGAGTCCCGACGTTCCTCTGACTGCATCCTAGGCCAAATTCTCTCTCTTCTCCATAGTATTAACGCTACTCTGTCACGTATCGACTTCGCAACTATCTTGAGATCATTTTCATGAAAAAATCCAGAGTCAATCTACAGAGGAGGCACAAACTTAGCAAGATTATGTGCGCACACATGTGCACGCACACATGTGCACACACGCGTATTACTTGAATCTCTTCCTAACAGAGAAAACACCAGTTTGAAATAACATAAATTACATCTTTATTCCTCACAAGAACAGGAACTCAAGAGCTTGATGGGTTTTTGAATAAAACTTCTATCCCTAATACATTTTAAAACAACAACATGTGATTTCTAAGACCTGAATATATATTGGGTCAATTTATTCACCAGTTAACATCCATTGAGAAGAGAAGTGCAAATGGGTTCCCTTTTTTTTTTTTTTTGAAGACTAACAGAATAGTCAAAAGAGGAAAAAAGAATCTTTGAAGAATGCTCTTTGAACAATGCAACTGGAGTAAACCATACTACCCCTAAATCAGAATTTATTGCCTTAACTTTTCTAGTATACACAGTTTCCCAAATTGCTGTGCTTGATATCACAGCAAGTCATGAAGGAAAAGATGTTAACAGAATTTCGTCCCAAATTAACTTCTCTTAAATGGTGAAGTCAGTCAGTATCGATTGACTTTTATAAAGAAAAAACCTATCGCTGAGTCAAATGCAGACTGTTCACGTTTGCCTGAAAAGGGGAGCAGGCTTTCTCAGAATTCAACCGCTCAACAGATAAAAATGGAAATTCATCTCTGCGCTATTTGGTCGCATAATCTCCTACAGCATAGGGTGTGAATTTTTGTTTAATAATGACCTACCAGAGATTTGCCTGCTCTCCCTACATTCTTAACATGCATATTCTATAGATTTGGAAGCACTTATATACAGGGAGGAAATCTAGAGGGTTTCCTTCTTTGCTCTTGCCCAAACACAAGACAGTTTTACAGCTTAGATTTCCGCTGTTTAAAATTAATAGGTGCAAAGCAGCTTAAAATACAGCTGCAGATGGATATGGGTATTTTCCACTGCCCATGCCCTCAGACCTTACTGACATTCCTGAACCGATGATCCAGCAAATGCTAACAGAAGGGAATTACTCAAGAACCACACAGGTCCAGAGAACCTTGTATGGTACTAACTAATGTGCCCAGTAGATTCTTCAGACAAAGCTTAATGGGAAGGCACTGAAAACCTGCCACATTAACAATTTTTTTTTAAACAATTCTTATTCCTACATCTCTATATAGAGAATGGTTAAAGTTTAATGAAGACATGTTATTTTACAGTACCCACTGGTTGTGAAAGGTAACTCCAGGTTGCAAACCCACCGGAACGTTTCAAGTTCCTTCTGCCCACATCATTTGGCCAGGCTGGAACGCCTGACTACTGAAACCCCATCAACAATGAAATAATTCCCTGTACTCAAAAGGTCTCCTGCATTATTCTCTTCCACAGCACATAAAGCAACACAAATTGATGAAAGCACGCGGCTTTGGTGTTCCACAATTCATAAGGGCTAGAAAAAGACATTTAGGAATAAATGTCCCCCTTTGCCCACCCCCCCAACAGCCTCAAGTTTGAAAGCATTTCACATGCAGCCACTTAGGTAACTACTAATGTAATAGAGTAACACACACGTTTTAAAGTTATTTGGGAAAGGGTATAGTATCACAGTAGTTTGGGAGTGATCCTTTTAAATACACTTTTTATGAGAATTATTTCCTCTTCAAAACAAAATATCACAACTATGGGCCAGTAACCTACAGAACTTCAAAATTCCAAATATTTCCATAAATATTTAAATGCAAAATATAACAGCAAGTAACTGTACCAGAGCAACTTTTAAATGAAATGAGTTCTGTAATAATGCATTGCTCAAAAAATATTGGACCTACTGCAAACTAACGACAAGAAGACAGAGGAGCCTGAATTTCGCCCACTAAATTTTGAGTACATGGTGATGAGTCCGAGCATAGTAAGGCAACGTTACCAAAATGAGTGCCTCCTAAGCAGAACAGGAGTGGTGATGACAACATCATTAAATGGGATCTCTTGGGATTTAGATTACAATAGGAACATTTCCGCAAGCACAAGAAAATCCAGACCCTTGACTCAGTGCTTACTGATTCTATGCCTCCACGATATTAGAAAACCTAAACAACTGCAGTAAAGACATCATTAAAACACGAGTTCAAGGACTATATAGTGAAACTGGAACACAAAATAGTTTTTTTTTCCTAACAAAACCCCACAAGTTAATAAGATACAGAAATTCACCAAGTTAAACTTATCTGTTAAAAAATCCAAAGCTTATTCCTAACTCTGTGCAGTGGGCTTGAATCTAGTTTCCTATTTATGTTTGGCGATAGAGTGGCTGACCACAGGCTTTCCTCACCTACATTCTTCCTAAGTAACACCGACAGAAAAGATGGAAAGAAGTGTTTTGAAGAATTCAGTGCAGAATATTTTGTGTTTGAACTTTTGAACTCTTCTAACTTATTTCAAGCTGCTCTCCGAAACTAAACAGATTCCAAACAAATTTAAAAGCATTCAACAGCTAACAGAAATTGGCAAAAGAGTTTTCAAAATATAAAAGTAGCAGAGACCTCTATGGTCCCTAAGCTATTTGAAATGCCATTTCATGCATCTGTTTTCACACTCGGTGAACGCTATTTTCAGCTATTAGTTCTTCCCTGTTTACCCCTTTCTTGCAGCATTCATTCTAAAATCAATGCAAACTGCTTAAACTAGTCACCTGGAATGGTTTACGTGGAAGTTACTTTACCAGACTCGTTCCTGCTGTCCTTTTGAGATTTATGCACTACTTTACATATATATATACACACATTTTTGTCAGGAGAAGTTTATTTTACCATTTCTTGTGCAACATCATCAGGAGTTTCCTTCTCCAGATCAAAAGTAAACTCAATGGCTCCATTATCTTTGGGTTTTCCTTTCAGTTTCTTAGGATCTTCTACCCAGAGTCTTAAGGCAATAGAGGATTTCCTACCATGGTCTTCTTCTGCAAGTTCCACTCTTACCCCAGTATCTTCAGCAAAAAAGGCATGGCTTAATAAATCTTTAATTTCATATCTGCAATGGATATAAAGAACATTCAAATACTGCAAGTCTTAAGCAATTTCAAAGAGGTTTGTGACAAGAAACTGCTGTTAAAGGCAAAAACATTTACAGTACGTTTGGTGTTCGTCCATAACAAATTTGCGTTCTTAGAAAACAGACATAGTATTTCCAGCGTTACTGAGGACTGCTGAAAAAATGATGTTTCCTATTTCACAAAGCTTCAGCAATATTCATACAGCATAAGCATGTACAGAAATGCAGGTTATAGATACTCAAGAATTAAGTTGAGCAAAGCTGAGCTTCGAGAGTACTAAAAAGGAGGTTACCCCTAGGTAGTCAGTTGAGGTCCCCAAAAACTGTATTTGTGAAAATTATGAAATACTGAACAGTAGACACACTCATCTAGGAGAGGCCAGTATAAGAAGATTAGGTTTTAAAACCAAAGCTGGAAAACAAGGCACAATTTGTTTCCATATCCAGAGACAACGGAATCTGCCATAACAGCTTGTGGTGAATCTACCATGTCACATTCGTGGTTGACCTCTGCCACACTCGATGCTCCACGCAGAACGTCCTGAATGAGCCAGAATGTGCTGGAATACGCTAGGCTCACATGTCCACCATAATGCTTTCTGACCTTATTCTTTGAAGCTGAGCGGCTGAGAGACACAACAACGGCATTTATTCAATTATCCTGACATTATAAGGCAGGAAAGCGGGCAATCGGTTATATTTGTACTTCCATTCTGCATTTTCTCCTCCACAGGGGAGACCCAGAGGCCAGAACAAAAATCCACAGTCAGCTTTGAAATCCCTGCATACACATTATTTAATACAAAACTTGATTACTTGAAACAAACCTTTCTTCTTTATTTTTGCAAATGCACTCCCCAATTATCTCCTTAATTTCAGGATCAGTAACTTTCTCAAAGCTTGCTGGTTTTATACCCTGAAAGGATAGAGAAAAACAGTTTAGTTTGAAAAAGAATTACATTATATCTCTTAATTAAGGACATTTTCCTTACATTTTACAGTCATTTCAACCCTTGGAGTAACTAATACTTCAAAGTTGATAGTCTTAATGCAAAACTGAATTGAGGATTTAGGGCTACCATACTTCTAAGTACCGCTGCACTTCAAAATAAGCACACTAGTTTGTACAGGAACTCAGCTGTACACAGGGCCAATCTCCCTTTTTCTTTACTAACTTTTGCAAACCTTACCTTCGTATCCTGTGGACTCTGAAGTCAATATTCAAGAAACAGCCAATTTAAAAATTTTCCAAATAACTCTTTTCTGAAATTATTCCTTTTCTGTTTTCTGCATTAACCCTCAAAACGCTAAATGAATAAAGACTCAAATAATCATGTTTTTCTTCAGATAGCCACTTTCAAGAACTAGTCAAAAATACCTTGGAATATTCCATATTCCTGTTTCCCGCAAATCTCTTGCTTTTCCATGTCCCCAACACTCTCCAACACTCCCACCCCCCACAAAACAAAAAATCCCCCAAAACCACCCCAAAACCAAGCAGGGGAACAGGAGAATATGCCCAACAGCTCTGTGTTGCTCTTGCATTTCCCCAGCACACTGTTAGAATCTCATCGGGAACGAGTGGCAGAGCAGGTATCACCTATAAATCAAGTTAAATCTCTGTCAAGCGTTAGCATTTTGGCTGGGAATAGTGTCCAGTTCTAGATTTGGAACAGCTCACCTATGAGCATGGCCTTGCAAGGAGAAAACCCAACTGTTCGCTCCAGAAGGAAACTTCAGAGAAGCAGAATCCGCTTCTCCAAGCTCTGGCTTGACGTAAGTGCAGCAG